GGGTTTTTTTTTACTCCCGGACAGTGGTTAATGGCTGACTTTTCAGAGACAGCCACACATGTACAGAGCTTCCAGCTGAGGGACACCTCGTGTGCTGCCTGTTCACATGCCTGCACTGCATGCCCAAGCAAGCTCTTCTATCACTTTCTCTATCTCCTGGTTTTATCCCTTCCCTTATTCTAAAGACAAAATTGACATATACGTACAAATATATATATATACATATTTAATTCAAGGTGGTTTTGTGTTTAACAGTTGCAGTCCTTGCTAGGCTTCACAGTGCGTAGCATTTTCCCACTGCTTGGTTTCGTTCCAGTTTGGAATAAGGTTTGGGGTTGCGGTCGCTAAAATCCCAAAAAAAAAAAAAGTTAAAAAAAAAAAAAAACCCCAGCAACAACAGACTAACGTTGACTTGAAGGTCTGTTTGTTTGTGTGTGTGTGTGTGTCATCCACTTCCTCCTCCTGTTCAAAGTCAACATTAGTTGAGTGTCTTCTTTTTGGATGTTTCTTACCTCACACAGTCATGTGACCTGTTGTCTGCCCTCTCTGCCCTGCCTGTTCAACCAGTCAGTGTGCACCAACAATCATCTCTGTGTTTGTGTGTGTAATAATGTGTGTGTGTGTGTGTGAACCAGGGTCGGAAATGATTGTATTTCATCAGGGCCTTTATTGGTCTCAGTGAAATATGTTTTTATAGATTATATATATATATATTAGTGACTATAACTATTTTTTTTAGGGCAACATTTAACTTTCTGACCTTCTTCTTCTTCCCGTTAGCTACTTTGCTACATCTTAAGTTAACCTGCTGCATTTCCACATTTAACTTTCTGACCTTCTTCTTCTCGTTAGCTACTTTGCTACATTTTAAGTTAACCTGCTGCATTTCTGGCTACTTTCATTTTTCTTGTATTTTAAACAAACTCGTCGCATGATTTCCGCTGCCGTTGGCTAACTTTTAACTTTTATTTGGCTAACATTTAGCTAGCTGTTATCGCAGCTTTGTTTTACCCGTATTTTATTAAATTTAGACATAATTCCTCAGCTGTTCTCTGTTATTGACCAGTTGTGCTTCAACTAGCATTTGTTTCCGGCATGAAAAATATTTTTGGTCATTTTGAAAAAAAAAAAAAAAGAAGCTAAATTTAGGCCATTTTACCTACTTATCTTTAAAATGTATTAACCCCACCTGTGGTGTCCACACTATATTATTAACCAGATTATAGTATATATATTTATATATAATTAACCACATTCTGGTCACATTTCTGTCCTAAAATGTTATTTATATTTTTCCTTGTCCTTTAAATTCCCCACTCTGAGGATTTTTTCATGACCTTTTGCCCTAAGCCTGTGTACATTTCTGACCCTGATGTGTGTTTATATATATATATATATATTTATATTTATATATGTGTATGTGTGTGCATTGCGTATCTATCGGTGTTTATGAGTGTGTGCATGTGCCCCTCCTCTTCCTGTTGTTTGTTGTTTTATTTGTTTTCCTTTTCCAGCCACTGCATGAAGTAATGAATGCTTGGGTTTGATTCTTCTTTCTTCCTCCTCCTCCTCCTCCTCTACCTTCTCCTCCTCCTCTTCCTCTTCCTCCACCTCCTCCTCTTTCACATTCCTCTTCCCCTTTTTTACTCTCTGGTCTTTTGGGAATTATTTGTAATTTTGGTTAATTCCTTTTTTTTTTGTTTTTTTGTTATATCATTGGGTTTATTTTTATTTTGCCTCCCTCCCTCCTTCCCTCCCTCCTTCCCTACCTGCCCCTTCCTCCTCCTCCTCCTCCTTTTTTGTGACACAGCGAGTTGGGATAGATCAGGGCGACAGCCCCGATCTCACACAGGTCAGTCTACATCTCATCTCAATCAGTCAATCAAGCAGTCAATCAACCAGTACCTAAATCTGTCCAGTCAATCCCATGATGCTTCATTCTTAGCGCTCCCGTTCCCTACTCACCCTACAGACCCGCCCACACTGCAGCTGCCCACCCCCCCACGGTTCTCCTCCACTTCTCATTACTCTCCTTAACTCCTCTGCCTTTTTTCTCCTTCTTTTTTTTTTTTTTTTCAATGAACGATACGGAGACCCTTAAGTCCTGATCTTTTTTTTCTATCTTCTGTGCACAGGATAATAACGTTTGATCGGAGAGAATTTATGAATAAAGAATCCAATAGACTAAGTCCTGAGGAGTCAGCGTACACAATTCATCTTGTACTTAGCAGAAGATTTTTCTTGTCGGAACAACAGCTTGTATTTCTCCAAACAAATTTTCATCACTAACGTCTTCAGACTGCACTGAAGTAATATAAAGTCCCTGTGATGAATCCTCCCTGGAGGACATGTCAAATATAGGAGTAAATTTGAGAGAAAGAAAAAAAAAAACCCAGATTTGTTGAAATGCAGATTAGATATTTAACTGTTACAGTTACAGCCCTTGGCTTCAAAATCAGATTCTCTACATATCCTCAACTTAAGTCGCTTCTGCGATAACGTTTCCATCAGAGAATCCTGGTGGATTTTGTTAGCACCAGGTCGAAAGACTAAAAGCCGGTTCCTTTCAAATGTTTTCTTTCAGTTTAGAGTAAAGAATCAGACGGAGTTAAATCCAAACTTGTTACGAAGATTCAATATTTTTTTGAAATATATTTTAAAAAGCTAAAGTTTATTTAGTTTTCAGTTCAAGTTGGTTTAGATGATGGCTCAACGTTTGAACAAAATATACTTGTTACGAAGCTTCAATATTTTTTTAAAATATATTTTAAAGAGTTAAAGTTTTGTTTAGTTTTCAGTTTCAGTTCAGTTCAAGTTGTGATAATAAGCAATTACATTTCGGGTCACCTTCATATTTCGTGTTGCCTATAGGTGGCGCTGACTCTATATTTTATATATAAAAAAAAAAGTTTTGAATTTACCTGACTCCACTTAAGATGGTTTTAGGGGGGACGCTGTTGAAGATGGTTTTAGGGGGGCGCTGTTGAGCCAGTTTGCCATACCACAGCTGCACACGGTGCACTTTGTTCCTTTTTCTGAAAATAAAGAAAAAATAAACACGTTTTAATATAAGTCACTGTAAGGACATCGCAGAACATTTAGATCTTCAGAGAAAATTATCCTGTGCTTAGAAGATTTAACACATTTTTCAGGATTTTATGGTCTTTGTTTAACAATAAGACAAAAAAAAAAACGTGTGTTTTAGCCATTATAGTATTTTTTTTTTTTCATTTTGTTTCCTTTATGTAACCTGGAACTAAATTTGACCCCAAAGTAGAACTTTAAGATTCTGAAAGTTTTCTGCAGCTGACAAAAAAAACAACTTTTTTTTATTACTTTTTCTTTCAATTTTAGATATCAATAACGGAGGCTTCCTATCTGTCTCAATTTCTTCCAGCAGTCAGTCTGGCATTTTCCCAGTGTAAAGACTCAGACTGGTCTCTGGATTCACACAAATAAGCCCGGATAACAAGTAACACCAGCAGCCTTCAAATTATTATCCTCCTGAAAAGATTTTTAAAAAAAAATCCCTTTGCATTAGCTGTGGGGCGAGCAGCGAATGGTTTTTTTATGAACAAGGTTTCTGCAAAATGACTTGGACAGGAGCAGATAAAGCCATCGTGAGCGCTGCACATCATGCTCATTTGCTTCTTTTTTGTTTTAGTAGATTGGACGAGCGCGATACCACAAATCAGGTGAAACAAATTGACTTTACTTGGGGAAAGGTCATGTTGGCGGTGCTCACGAAGACCTTATATGCCCTTATTCAACCCTGTAGTGAGCCGTGCCTTTTACTGAGCCCCAGATATGTGTCTGTTTTACTTTACGACCTGTAGCACATTCTAGATTTCTCTTGACGAAGGAATTCCAGAATTCGCATTTTACTCTCTTTCCCCCTTAAAATAAGTACAAGACAAATCTTTTCTTTGCTTGTTGTGTTGGCCTTGCGTTCCCTGCTGCTGAAATGTCAGACGCTGGGTGAAAACTCTGGTATCACATGACGTCAAAATGATCCCATCCATCATTATTTTCTGTTTTCTTTAATGAGAGAAAAAAAAACTTCTGAATGTGTATACCTGGTTTCTCTGCAGATGTCTACATTTCACTGAGTTAACTTCCCTGGCTTCCAGTGAGATATTTGGGCCTCGGTATCATGAGGTTCTCAGTCTAACCCTCAATTAAAATAACATTTATTTTCACCTTAAGACATGTTTGTCAGGGGGACATTTTTTTTTTACTTTTCTAAGTTGTTGGAGAAAATCCATAACTTTATTTTCTAACTGGCTCAACTAGGAATTTTTTTTACATTCTCTGATTTTTGTTTGAATATATTCTGAGGATTCTTGTGAAGTTAGTTTTATGTTAAATTTGCCTTTTTTTTCTTTTATTTTTTTACTTGCTTTTTAGCTGATTTTAGCTACTTGAGTTAAATTATCTTTTGGCTAATTAGTAACATTTTAGAATTTTTACTTTTACATTTTAACATAAAAAACAAAACAAAAAACATTACGATCCTCCTCCGCCCCTAAACCAATTTGACGCTCACTGCTTTAAGTGGAATCCAAGGGTTAACTCTCTGATATTTTTGATTGATTTCTTTATTTAGAATGTGTGTATGTATGTGTGTGTGTGTGTGTGTGTATTTACTGCAGTGTGTGTGTCATGGCAGCTGTCTGCATGGGCTGGTCATACAGTAGAGATTCTTTTCAGCGCTGATGTTTGTGGTGATTTTCCTCTTCTGTGTTCGTACCTGTCAGTCCTGCTTGCATGACCCGAGGCTGATGTGTGCATGCTGGTCAACCAAACCTGATGAAACCAAATACAGAAAATAAATTAAATAATGAAAAAATAACTGAGCAGAGAGCTGACGTAGATCAGACGACAAATAGAAGTGGTGACGTTCTTGATTCTGCTGCTGCTTTGTCTGTTTGTTTCTTGAGTGTCTGAAGTTCAACGAGGTAAATGAGAAGAGAATGAGAGCGAGACATGAGTCCCAGCGTTTCAGAATGGCTGCCGTTCTAATGTCACACCCCCCCCACCTTCCCACCCTTTACCCCCCACTCTCAGGCTCCCAATTCTCTCCTGGAGGCTCTGGAGCAGCATCTAGCCTCTCTGGAGGGCAGGAAGCTCAAGGACCTCTCCACAGCAAGCAGGTATGATCACAGAGGGCAGAAGACCCTCACAGACCCTCACACCCTCCTCCACCTTCAGCCTACCGCTGCTGTCCACACCAGTGCTGCCAGACAAGGTGACCTCTAGAGGCGCTGCAGCGGAAAGGGAGGGCTCGGCTTCATGATGTACGCTAGTAGGACAGATCTAGAGGGTTGGGGGTTTGATTCCAGATTTATATGCCACCCCCCTGTTAATAAATTCCAGACAAAGAAATTTTTCCAACTTGACTGACTTTTGTGATTCCCATTATTGTTGCTGGAACACAACTTTAAGGTTAACGTCTGTGGATCTGGTCAAAGTTTTTTTTCTACAACTATCAGATGGATGTGACTCCACTATTGGCCTTCTGTCAACTTCACTGAGTTTCTCTTGAATTCTGATTTCATTTTTTTTTTTATTATTACCTTATTCATTCAGTGAGGCTTTATTTTGTCCAAAGCCACAGTGCGTGGGTTTAGTCTAATAACAACAACAAAAAGGTTAGAAAGTTATAAAGTACAACAGAGTGTGACTCAGTAAACGACAAACAAACACAACAGAAATGTGTGTAAAAATCCTCCAGGCTCCACAGAACTGTTTGGGTTCTTTTTTTTTTTTCTTTCTATGTGTGTGTGTGTGTGTTTTCCATTGAAGATCCAGCACCTTGTCCAGTGCAGTTTCCTCTCTCTCCAGCACTGGCATCTCTCTCAGCCGCATGGACGACAAGACGGACGACAACAGACTGCAGCAACACAAGGTGAGACAATTACACCATTTATTTAAAAAGAAATACATATATATGTATATATATATATATGTATGTGTGTGTTTATATACTGTATGTATACTGTATATATATATATAATATACACACACATATATACATATATACATACATATATATACATATATACATACATATATATACATATATACATACATATATATATCCTAGAATTGTTACTTTCATAGTTAACGATATAGATTCTCTTGTCATAGAAGATTTTCACCTGTTCTCTCTGAATAAACACAACCACAGTTTCCTAGTGGATTTGCAGCTTCGTTCAACAGGTCGATGCTCTGTGAAGGCTCTGTGGCCTTGATAATGAGGTTAGAAAGTCAAAGTTATAAAAGCGAAAGCCTGAAATCTCTGAAAGAAAACACATGCGACAGAGACACAAGACACCATTGATTATAGCCTTTTAAAGCACAGTAATAAATATTTACCTTTTAACTCAATTCTATGAATTTTGAAAAAAAAAAAAAAAAAAAGAAACTGGAATTCAAAGAAGTTAAAAAGCTGCCCAACCTTTCACAGAGAAAAAGCAGCCATTTCTAACTGCACTGCCCACAGCAGTGATTCACTTCCTCTGGCTTCTCCAGTCAAGATCAATATGTGATTTTGTAAATTTAGGCTTTGAGATGCTGGGAGTGGATTTACCTCAGCGACGACAAACTCTCTTTGAGAGGCGGTGACAGAGCAGCAGTTCCTGTGTCCAGTTGTGGTGAAGCTACAATATTCTTTATGGACTTCTGTGCAAGAGAAGAAAGAAAATACACAATGAGAAAAACAACATAAAAAAAAATCTTAATTATCTGTGTAAAGCTGCATGATGACAACGTATCTTACAAGAGTCTAACATAGAAGTGAATGTAAAGCTGCATGATGACAACGTATCTAACAAGAGTCTAACATAGAAGTGAGTAGAATTAAATAATGTGCTTTTCTTTATGTGGTAATTATGACATTTTGACTGGATTTTACAGCGGGTAAATAAATGTTTCGTGTGTTTCCTGGTGAGGAGGTTAGTCGAGGTAGTTTCTCTCCCGGCCTAATTGTCTCCTCCTCCTCCTCGTCTGTTTGATATGCAGGATGACGGTCATAAGGTGATTGACATTCAGACGCCCACTGTGTCACCCAGCACCCAGTCGGTGGGCAGTGCCAACAGCAGCGGAGGAGCCACAGATCTTTTCTCCAACTCACCCATCGTACCTGTCAACAGCCAGTGAGTGTGTAATCCCACGCTGCGTAAACACGGGGGGAAAAGGCTGCAGAGAGACGCAGCGTTTGTTGTTTGTGCAGAGTTTGTTGATACAGCCTCCTCCTCCTCCTCCTCCTGTTTCCCATCACGTCCTTGAATGAAAGGAGTACTCGGCTTCTTGGGTTGATTTTTTTTTTTTTTTTTTAACCCTGGAATGGAATACTTTGTGTCACTGTATTTCATTTTTCAAATCGTCTGGTTATATAAAAATAAAAAAATCAGTGACACACATTTATTTTATTTTTTTCCCTGTGTTTTTCTGCAGTGTGCCAAATCTGACCAGTGAGCTGTTCACCCTGCAGCCAAACTTCACCCCCATTCAGACCACACACACTGTGCCCAACAACAACAATGCCTGGGGAGGTGAGACCACACACACACACACACTTTATTTAGCCAATGCCGTCCAGGCGTGATGCTTCATTTCCTGATTTAGAAAATGTCCTGAAGCTCAACGTCCACCAGATAATAATAACATCCAGTGAGTTTTAACGCTTAAAGATAGACCGTCCAGAAATGACAGAGCTAGAAGCCTCCAGTCAGTCTTAATCCACACTAGAGGTGTATGGTGGTGTAGGGCTACTCTGCAGCTACTTTAGATTTATTTTTTGGCTCTTTTTTTTTAATGTTTTTGGAAGTCGTCTGGACTTTTCTGGGTGTAAATGTTAAGCAGATGAGGCGGTGAATTTCTGTTCTGTAATTAGAGGTGTACGGCTCCACCTTCTCTGTCACTTTAGAGATGATTATGTCATACAGTAAATTGAGTAATTTTTTAAAATTCCCTGAGATCAGCTCTGTGGAGTTTGGTTGAATCAACAGCCAATGAAATCTGTCCTCCATTATTTGGTGTTTTTAAAGGAACAGGGCCCTGAGTTTTGACTTCTTCTTGTCTTGTTTTTTTTTGTTTGTTTGTTTTTTTGCATCACTCTGTGACCTTTTACGTTAACATGGAGCTCATAGCAGTTCACACATGAACAGACAAACACGCTCTCAGCAGTTCAGGCTGCAGTGCTGATGCTCTTGACTAATTTCTCTTTCCTTTTCCTCCGATCTTTGCCCTTCACCACAATTTCCCTCTGGATGTCAGGTGACCTGCTTAAGCCAGTCCCACACACTCAAATTCACAGCCCGGGAGTCCCGCTGCATTCTGGGAAAATGCTCCCAAACGACTTAGACTCATCCTTAGCCAACCTTGTTGGTAGTAAGTAAAGACTTTTCTCTTCAGATTGATTTTACTCACTCTTCACGTTGCCTCCTAACGTCTCACCTTTTTATTTTTCCAGACCTGCAGTTTGGGGGGACACCTGCTAAGAAGTGAGATTTTTTAAATTATTAGTCTAGCTTTGATCCATTTATTTATGTGATGAATTGTACCTGTAACGTCTCCGCTCCTGTACGTCAGGCCTGAGCTGCAGTGGAGTCAGCTGGTGGAGAAGAAACCAACAGGAGGAAGTGGCTGGCAGTCAAAGGCCATGTGCACCAGCACCAACTGGACTCACACCACCCACCCCATGGCACCTGCACCTATGCCTGTTCCTCAGATGGTAAATTATTTCACAAACTTAACTTACAGTTACAAATATATATATATATATTTAGAAATATGCAGTATATATGTAGAAAAAATATATGTAGATATATGTGAATTATTTCACAAACTTACATTTACAAATATAAATGTATATATATATAGAAATATACAGTATATATGTAGAAAACATATGTAGATATATATGTAAATCATTTCACAAACTTACATATAATATATTTATATATGTATAAATATACAGTATATATGTTGAAAAATATATATGCAGAAATATATATGTATATATGTGTGTGTAGAAATATTTATATATAGTATATAGGTATATATACAGTATTATACATATATTGAGTATATATATATATACATATTTATTTACATATGCATATATACATATGTATACATACATATACAGTATCTATATTTATACATATATACTCACTCTCTTCGTGTTGCCGACTTTAAGGGTGTGGTCAGTCCAATAACCAGTAGAACTAGGAAAAAAACAAAGTACAGAGATCAATAGTTCCACTTTTCGTAAATAGCTTGAAGCTACTTACAACTTTCTAAGCTGAAAGAAAGAACTTCACTGTGTTTTTTTATTCATCTGTACACAGTATGTTAGTGTAACATGTCCATAAGTCATTAGGTCAACAAAAAAAAAATATCATTATCTGATTTATGGAGGAACCTCCTCTTACATCCGTGTCTCCTCGTCCTCTCTGGTCCACTCCTAATTTCAAACACGTCCGTTTCATTCCGTCCAACTTCATCTTTAAATTTCCGTCTGATTGACCCTTCAACTCCGTCCGGTCGTTTATTGAGGGAAATGGTTCGGAAAAAGTCTGTGGCCTGACCGGAATAGAAAGTAGAAGTGACGGAGACAAAGAGAGGAATTAGGGCTGCGCTCCACCTCCTCCACTCATTTTGAAGATGATCTACGAGCAGGACCTTTTATGCAGATCTGCTTTAATAAAACCATTTTTCCTCTTTTCCTTCTCTCCACAGAATGGGATGATCTACACTGGTTATGTAAGTGCACCTTTCCCTCACATAACCGTCTCCTTTGTTGAATTACCCTCGTCACTTTTCTTTGCTTTAGAAATAAATCAATAGCCTGTTGTATTACCTTTGTGCTGCCGTTGAAACCCAGCTCTTTATATTTTATGTCGGTTTTGCGTGCAGAGCACTGGGTTGATATCGATGTGGGGGGTTTTTTGTTATTGATTTATTCAGCAGCTCCAACACGACACAAAACACAAAATTGTTTTTAACGTGTCAATATTCTTGCACCTAAGGTTGCTTATTTCTAAAGAAAAAAAAAAACAGCCACTAGGGGAGCAGCTCATGATGATGGTAAAAACATCCTTTGCCAGAAGTTACTGGACAGATTCATCCCAACTTGGGACTGGGAAATACAAAGAATGGGGCCCCCCTGTGGTTGAGGCGTGCTATTAAATATAGAGGACGTCAAATATGATGTGAGGATTGACTGGAATAGCCAGGATTTGGACATGAGCTGAGCAGAGACAGTGGACATATTAGACAAAAATATGTTAACTAAAAGTATGTAGTGGACATATTAGACAAAAATATGTTAGACAGAAAAAATAACAGAGAATGTTTACCATATCATTACCCGTACTTGTCCTTGGTTACTGTATGTCTATATATATTTTGAAAACCGCAGAATTTGCAAAGAAGCAGAAAACTTTACAGACATCGACAAAACTCCAAACAAACGAGTACGAGTGCGTAGGAGTTGTTCAAGAGTTTTCAAGACAGTAGAAAAATCCTGATTAAATAAAATGTAACCGCTCCACAAGGACACAAGAATATAAATTTGTGAATCTGAGAAACTGTTGTGACTTTTCAAGTTCAAGCACATTTCTGAATTCTAACATGTGTCTTAGAATATTAGTTCCTCCATGGAAATATGCTTTTCATTACCTACCAGGGTGCACGACATTTCGAAACATTTTTTCAAAAACTTCAACTCTCCTGACAATTATGTTTGACACGAAAGCTTTGGTTTTTCTGTGCAGGCTCCAGCACCAGTGGCTTTTCCTATGACGACGCCTCAAGTGCCTGTGTACGGAATGGTAAATAACGCGCAGCCTCCTCCAGCCTAATCCCAGTCACAAACCCACAAATCTTCTATTAACATGCCGCCTCCGCTGTCTGCTCTCATCTAAATACACATGATCCCTTCACCGCTCCCTCCTGCTCTCACCTTCTGTCTCGCCAGCTCCCTCCTCAGATGAGTCATCAGATGGGGGGCGTTCCCATGATGCCCCCACAGCCTGTCATGTACAACCAGCCTGTTCTCAGACCTTCTAATCCCTTTGGACCCATCCCTGGGACACAGGTATACCGACCTCTGCTCTGCTCTTTGATTACAAGCCTTGAACATTTACAGATTTGTTTTTTTACCTAACCTGTACAGGAAAGAAGGAAGGGAGGAAGGTCAGTATGTGAAATTGTGAATAAGTAACAGTAAAAATGATGGTGCATGAGGTTCTATACCTGGGATCAGCCAGACGTAGCAACAGACAGAGCAGGAACGACGAGTGCCGGGGGAAGTGTTGTACTCTGGTTTTAGACTCTGACTCCAGACTCCAGGAACTTGACATGAAACCAGCCTGAAGGAAGGAGTTTTTTTTTTTAAGACTTCAACTTTTTATTTGACTTCAGCCAAAACTCAAAACCCCAGACTTCAACTCGTCTTACAAGACAGAGACATGGAACTCTGGGGATTTGACTGTTTTCCGTCCCCTCAGATTTTTGAAAAAAAACAGCCTAATAAGAAAGTCAATGATTTAGAGACATCATACAACTTGGACTTGCACTTGTCATAATTACTGCAAATAACCGATTGGTTGTGCTCGAGCCGTGCACAGCTGAAGAAACAGGATGAGCCCTGTCGTCTGATCATTTTTAAATCTGATCAGATAACCGATCTAGAGTGAGACAAAGTGGCCGTTAATAATCAGGTGCTGCTGCTGCAGCTCCAGGGCTGCGTGGAGAATAAGTGCACGTCTTTGACCATTTGTTCAAAAACACAGCAGAGAGAAACGTAATTACACTGAGCGTTCAGCGTCGCTGAAAGGCAGTTTTGTCGACACTGCGGCAGGTAGTACGCCCGTCAATAGATGCCTGAGCACTTGATGAGCTGCTGTGTTGAACTAAATTACTCTACCTTCTCGCCACCCGTCCTCCTGTAGATGCACTTCATGTAGAGACGATGTCGTAACCATGGCAGCAGAGCTGAGAGGGAGACGGGGGAGAAGAAGGAAGGAGACGGAGGAGAACACATCCAGAACCAAATCCCGGTGCAGTAGGACGAAAAGGTGAAGGCAGAGAGGGAAAAGGGAGGGGAGAGTTACGAAGGACCAGAGGGCGGATCAAGGATTGAAACGCTCACCTTCTAATCTCCTCTCCGCTCCCCGTGTGGATACCGGCCTCTGTCTACGAATCTGAAAAGGCCAGGGCTCCAGACGGCCCTTGTCAGTCCTACTCATCCACTATTTAATTTGCCCGCTCTGATGGCAAATAACAACCTGTGATAACACTTCAGAAAAACCTGAGAGCTCTGTGGAAGTGCGGCCGCACAGCTGCTACTTCCTGACCTCCTCATACACATCACTTCCTGTACAAAACTCTCACACAACTGAATCAAACCTGGGACAGGGTGTCGTCTCTTTCTCTGATTGGATCGTTTGCTGGCACTTTACTCAATGTGCTCCTTGCCAAGGGTGTGTGTGTGTATGTGTGTGTGTGTGTGTGTGTCTAGGTGCGTGTTGTTGATTTTATCATCCTGGTCAGATTGGTTTCCCGGTCATGTGTTATCCATCAGGATGTCAGGAGTAATCGATTTGAAGGTGTGTGTGTGTGTGTCTTGTTTTTCTACATTTCTCTGTGCTGCACCAACATAACTGTGTCGAGTCCCTTTTTTTTCGAGACTCGGTTTGTTCTAAATTGCCAACTTCACATCGAGGATCTGGCGTGGAAAGAACCGTCACTTGCGGGCACGCCGATGTGTTTGTGTGTTAGGTGTGCGAGTGTGGTTTTGACGTAGCTGTGTTGGATACTGTACTGTACGTTTCTCTTTTAAGTACCTGCCGCCATTTTACTGCGTGACCAGGTACTGATGTGTTACTGCACTGGAACTAACTGATGAAAGCACTGAGCCACAGCCAGGCATCATCTCTGGATGTTACACAAACCTCTTACACCAACTTTAATTCTGGGGGGAGTGAGTGGGGGGGGTGTCGTTGTACTTACTGTACCTTTAATTTTTTATTTTTTTTATTTTTGTTGTTTCCTCCCCCACAGCTGTGCAATATCATGCAACACCCTTTTCCTGTCTGCCCCCCCCCAACCGTGTAGCTTGCGTAGAAGCAGTAGTGTCGTAATCTCTAGTGTGTCTGTCAGGCTTTTGTACAGAGAACTGTTCGGTTTTTTTTTGTTTGTTTGGTTTTTTTTCCAGGGCACTGCTCAAGGAGTAGTGACGTTGCACTGAGAGTCAGGTGGAGACTGGGCGTTAGACTGGAGATGATTCTCAATCTTGCCAATCAGACAAGTACTAACTCAGATTCCTAACACGTCTACACTGTCTTGGGTGTTTGTCTTATTGAATATCCGAATCTTTTAATCCCCTCCTTCCCACCCACCCACACATCAAGTCACACTGCAGAAAAACTAGACAGGTAATCACTCCAGCAGACTCCTCACTTCGACATAGAGAGAGAGACAAAGGTTATCTAATGGAGTGGACACCTCTGTGGTCCAGGGCAGTTCAAGGTCAATTAGAGGAGACGGTCAAAGACCAGAATCTGACAAAAGCAGCCGAGGGAATAATCCACTGGTCACGAGACGATGACACACAGATTATTTCAGACAGCCAGACCAGGGGTGGATTTAATGAGACGATAAATGTTAATGTGAATTTTGTTGCCGATCCAAGGTCAAGTGAGACCCCGTGATGATAAACAGTATATATATATATACATATATAGAGAGAGCACAAACCTCCTAAGAGGTATAAGCAAATGTCCTGCTGCACAAAAACCCTAAAATCATTGCTGGGATGTACAGTTAAAGGGGCAATAATCAATTGGGGGATGAAGGCGTTTTCTATTGATCGTGTCTGTTCAATGGTACATGTACTGTACGTGTTTGTGTGCACATGCTTCCCCCATCAAGACAAACAGGGTCATGTTTCTCGGTAGCGTGTACTTACGTAACAGATGAGTTCCTCTGTGAGAGTCATGTCTGAGTTGGAACCACACAATCTGGAATCTCGGGTGGTTGAAGATCGCCGGAAAACGAGCAGCTGTCCAAGTTGATCTCTGGTAGAATTCGTGAACCTGCATCCAAGACTCTCTCTCTCCACCAGAGGGACGTCCATCTATTAAAAGTCATCACACACACAGTGAAAATCGTCTCTGGTCTCCAAACGAGCCGGAGCCGACACGTGGCTTCACCCACCCCACCAAGACACTCACTTATTCCAGTGGTTTGTCCGTTCTCCATCAGTCCGACGATCTCTTCATCACACGGCTCGTCCCCACCACACGCTCCGTCCATCCTGGACTGTCACTGTGTCTTCTGTATATAGGTAAAGCTGTTCATGTGTTTTTAGACGTGCTCTCTCTCTCTTTCTCTCTCTCTCTGTAAAGTTGATCAAAGCCAACGTTGGAAGACGTCACTGTATGTGGGACAATTAATTGCCGTATCCGTGTTTGAATGGTTGTATTTCAAAGGTGTCACGATCCGGGGACGGGTAGGGGTTGATGTTTGTGATGTTTGTGTCCATCTTAAGGAGGAAAAGGGATAGGGGGTAATGTTTGGGGGAGGGTCAAAGGGCAAATTATCACAACTGGTCTACACCAAGAGTGTCTTCATGAAGGAGGTGGACAGGACAGGGTCTGTCCTCCTCAAAAACGGAACATTCTTTTGCACCAAAGTCATCATCAAAGCGCAGCTTCTTCTTCAAGGTCACAGCAGACGGGACAATAACAGAACTCAGCCAGGAACCGTTTTGTTCTCTTTACGTTATGACGAGAAAACTGTCTTTCTTTTGCATGATTAAGTGTCGTCTTTTTATTGGCTCGTGTGCCCGGTAAAAGCATGACCATTGTGTGAACTCTCACTTACCGGTGTGTTTGGAGAAATGAGATGTTCTTTCTCTTTATTTTTTACTTACCTCTTGACATGAACACGAAGGTCCATTGACATTCAGAACACACTGTTTTACAATGTAGGGTCTGTAACTGTTTGAAGGCTGTGTCGCATGCAGCAATGCAACTCGCAAGTAACCCATCCGACTTCAAACCCAGTTACCACCAATAACTGCATCTTTGTAAAACACCGATGGATGTCAATGCCAGTTACCACCTAGCTAGCTAGACATTGCAGTCTTGTAAAAACAGCTCTTTATTAAAGCGTTGCTATTTTCAATACTGGTGTGTGTTTGAACTTTTGCTTTTCTTTAACATTATGCCAGGAGATTCATGATGGGAGGTTGTGGTAAAAAAAAAAAAAAAAGTACTGTATTACTGTCGTGTTGGTCTGGTCCACGTTGTGTGGTGTTTTGAGTGTTTGCAAAGTCTTGTCCTGTCGTTTGTCATTAACTGGGCTTTAAATGACCGAGTCGTTCCTTCAAACGTATGCAGGTTCCAATTAAAACAGGCCCCACGTAATATCTGGAGAAACTTTTAAGCAAACCAAGAAAGATATGTCCGGACCCGGAAAATGTGGAGAGACTGTAAATAAGTAACGGTTAGAGCCATACAGTTATATATATATATATATCAATGAATGAACTTCTACTTTAAAGCCTTGAAAATTGCAAACTGAAGCAGTGCCATGAATATTTTAAAAACCCATATTCACTGACGTCACCTACAACCAGGGATCTACTGGTCCGTACAGGTGTCAGGTACACAGATGTACTCGCGTGTGCTCTCTTCTGTTGGTCTTTATCTTTTGTTTTCAGTTAAATGGGATTATTACTAACAATTTTTACTGGAATAATAAAGAAAATGAACAACTGATTAAAGGCTTAAAACCCCATAGATAAATGGTTATTGACTTAAGATCGATTTTCTCATATATGTAGCCCTGGTGGTATCACACCTAGGGCCCTCTGGTGGCAGGCGGGGGTCTTGCCACTGCACCACTTTTTTTCCCCCCCAAGATACGCAGATGTACACATGTATTTTTAGTCCAAATATATACAACAAAACCCTGATAATTTTGTTTAGCTTCTTTAAGGTGGTATGACGGATGTGAATCACTTCAGGAGTTCAATTTTTTCAATTTTTTTTTTTCCAAATTTCAGAAAATCAAACTGATGCCAAAATGAATTTGCAGCTGTTGACCAGAGAGTCTGTAGTACTCACCAGTAGTCTCTGCTTTTGAACGTTGCTGTGGCTACAAGGCTTAGGTTTCCATTCTGCTGGCACTTCCACATGGCACACGGCGATCACTGTGACCTTAGCTGATGTTGGACGGCACAAAGAAACTGCTGCTGCTACTCTACTGCTAAATTAAGATATCAGTGGCAAAAGACAAATACAGCACAACATTATTTTGTTTCAAATGACACGCATAAAAGACGCGTCAACAACTGCATATTAAATTCAGTACAGGTCCTGCAGCGTCACTTCAGTGACATCACTTTTACCACAGGCTTATTTGTGTGTGTCTACTTACCTCGTACTGCCCGTGGAACCAGTCAAAAACTTCTTTTTAACATGAGCATTTGTAGACAAAGAGCCAATATGTATGATTACTTTGCGCCTGCATTGAATCACAAAACTCCACAAATACTGGTTTCTGTAGTTGCAATATTTCCAAACGGTAGCCTCCTTAAATTAGTCTGGTCCCGATCTAATACAATTAAGAGTTGTTTTTGATTTAAAACGGCCTGAAAGTACTTGAAAAAAATTACTCAAAAGAAAAAGAAATTGTGACTGTGAGCTAAAAAAGCTCACAGACTGGCGAACTAATTTGCAAAAACAACGAAACAAAAAAACCCCCGGCAGAAATAGCGAAAAAATTATGTACAGAAAGTACAAGACAGCCAACACAATCTTTAACACACACAAGAGAAAAAAAGTCTGATTAAATTTATTTATTTTTAAAGAACATGGAACAAAATGTACTTTAAAACAAGGTGATAGTATTTGTGTTTCATTTTCATTCATACAGGTTGAATGTGGCATCAAAAAAATCGTCGATTTTTTTGGGAGGAGGTGAGGGGGAAGTCGTCGAACCAGCAACCGATCCTGAGCCACAGTACCTGTGAATCTGAGGGCCTACGGACGTGCTCTTTAAGGAAGGCACTTTAACCCCACAGTGGCCCCTCCCTGGGGGGTTAGACTTAACAAAAACTACAACCCATCCTACGTACTTGTCCCACGTTCCGTTCTGGGCATCCGCGCCCGGTACTGTTGAATAACAGGTGTTTAGCTACGGCTTACAAATAATTATTATTATAATTATGATGGTGATCTTACGCCTGCTAGAGAAATGTTGTAGAGCTACGCTGAACGGAGGCCTCAAAAAAGATGGTGTTTAGGTAGCCAATAAGTCAGGACCTGGAATGTATGAGCAGAAAAAGTTGGGAAATCAAAAAGCTTGGAAACAAGAGAAATCTCCCATTGGAAAAAAAAAAGAATGGGAGCTCCACTGTTAAAAAAAAAAAAGAAAAAAAAAGAGGGTTAAAGTGTAGCTAGCTGTGTGTATGAGCATGTACGCGTGTCATTCGAGGAGGGGCAGGAGTGTGTGATCTGAGTGTTTACCTTAGAGGGGGGGGACACCCATCGTCCACAGCAGTTTCAGGCCTAACGCTGCTGTTTTCCCCATTCCATGCTACTGCTGCGTGTGGCGAACGTCCAGGGCAAGGGCTCAGTTTGGCTCCCTCCCACTCTAGCTGCAATAATCAGCAAGAGGAAGAAGGTGGCTGGAGCAGCAGCAACAACAAGGCATGTATCTAACAGTTCACATGGAGAAGGTGGAGAAATGTGGGTGTGTGGAGAGGCTACCTGTCACTGGAACCTAGTGTAGCAAAACCAATGTCAGGAGAAGGACGAGAAACGAGTGTGTGGTCGGTCCTGAATGGAGCCAAAGTCAGCAAGAGTAAATTCAAGTCAAATGAGATTTGCGTGGTATCAACTGTAAGTGAACCCCAATAAAAGACAAGGTGTGGAGTCAACAGCCAACTCTGTAGGTGTGATATGGATTTAGAAAAGGACAGTGATCTTTCCTGGGCCGTCACTTTATCCAAAGCATATAAGCAATTTTAGAATAGAGCTTAAAGTTCAAAAGTAATGACTAAAAACCCTGTGGTATGAAATAGTTGCTCTCTCTCTAGCGCCGTAGACTATATTTGGCAATTTTTTTCTCTGATTTTTCAAAATTTGACTCAAAACCGAGACAAAGTTTCTTGACTCCAATCTTGACTGCAGCAGCTAAATGCTCATCACTACCAACGTGTGACAATAATTCTCCTCAAGTCCCTCAAAAAAAGTCGATGCTTAAAAAGACAGTTAATTTCACCATGTTAAGCTCTTTTTTTTTTAAATAAACACCTCATCTTTACAACAACGTTCCTATCAAATGACGTCAAAAGGACTTTTTTTTTTGCTGTAAAATATTTACACAAAAAGCCAAGTTTTGTTTAGGACTGACATCCAACAAGCTGAACCTCTGTAGGGTCAATAATCTAAGAATATTGTCTTTAAATCCTCTGGCGTATATAAAAATCAAATACCCAACCATAATAAATCCCCTTTAAAGCTGTGACGTTTGGTGGAGATGAAATGTGAAAATGGAGAAAACGACAGCACTGATGAACTACGATTTTGAAGGAAATTCACAATGACCTGTAACGCCGTACTTAACAGCAAATTATGATTGTGCCAGCTTTGAAAAGTCCAGCAGACTCGGCCAGACACACAAGAACTTTACACAATTTTGCAAACAAAACCTAAAGCCTAAACTGTAAACCATTATCTTTCTCAATAAGAAAACTCTAACGATAAGATCAAATGGCTGGTCGTGTGTTTACAGCTAAATAAACTATGGACATTAAAAAAAAAAAAAAAGGCTCAGGACAGCCTCTCACATCAGCGGACTGCAACAACCCCCCGCCCCCGATCTGCAGTGGTGACCACAGTCAGTCTTGACGTTGTCACACCAAAACCAGGAGGTCCAAACGTATAATTACACAAAAATAGGGGGGGATTAACCCATTAGCACAAACAAACCTGATGGCTAACTGATAGCTTCCTTAAAATCTACTTCCGTACTTACAAACCACGGAAGGAAACCACACATTTCACCGAATGACTCAAACAAGAAATAACCGAATCCAAACCATGGCGTGTTACATACTCTACACATGATTCTCCTACACCTGTGCAAATGTCGGGACATTTTGAAAAAAATTTTAGTCTATACTTTCCTTTACAGATTGGAGATTCCAGGATTAAGTTTTAAGACAACTTTTAATTCAGTCATTGATTTATTTTTAAGGATTGACTTTTTTTGGGGGGG